TGAGGGTTCAGCCTCCCGATGAGTCGGTGAAACTCCGACGAAACAGTTTGTCACAGCCCCTTGTTTGTTGTCCTCTTCTCTCTCTCTGCCTACGGTTTACCGGGCAGTTCTGTTTGTGACGATATATATATACATACATAGATGTACCATTCATCTGATGGCATCTGGATTCGAACTTGGGTCTGTCTGTATTTCAACAGTTGATTGCTGTACCAGCGAAGGTACGGTCTTCCCCCGAATATAGCGTACGGTCGTCATTGCTGTATCTGGACTGAAAGTTGCTCGAGAAGCAGGCACAATGACCGTACGTTCTATTATGGGGAAGAAAAAGGTAGGTAGGCCCGACGGTACAGCTGTCATTAACCCCATCGTGACAACTTTTTTTTTTTTTTTTTAAATCCTAGCGCTTATCTCAGCCTCGTCCTCACCTTATCCGAACCTTATCCTGTCCTTATCCCCACCTTATCCTCTTTTTTTCTAACCTTATTCTAACGTTATCCTTACTGAGTTGTTTTCTATGCGGAGTCTTTCATCCGCTAAGTATAAATTTCTTGACATGTCTCTCTCTCTCTCTCTCTCTCTCTCTCTCTCTCTCTCTCTCTCTCTCTCTCTCTCTCTCTCTCTCTAAGATGTACACCTAGCCTTATCCTCACCTTATCCTAACCATATCCTAACCTTATCCTCACCTTATCCTGTCCTTATCCCCACCTTATCCTAACCATATCCTAACCTTATCCTCACCTTATCCTGTCCTTATCCCCACCTTATCCTAACCTTATCCTAACCTTATCCTGTCCTTATCGTAACCTTATCCTTTTCTTTTGTTTATTTTCTTCTTTCTTAAAGAAATTCTTTTCTTCTTTCTTAAAGAAATCCTTTTCTATGCGGAGTCTTTCCTCCGCTAATTACAAATTTCTTGACATGTCTCTCTCTCTCTCTCTCTCTCTCTCTAAGTTGTGCACTAAACCTTATCTTAACCCTATCCTTACCTTATCCTCACCTTATCCTTCTCTTTTTTTCTTTTTTCTGAATTTTTTTTCTTTCTATGCGGAGTCTTTCATCCGCAAATTATAAAATTTATTAACATGTCTCTCTCTCTCTCTCTCTCTCTCTCTNTTTTTTCTGAATTTTTTTTCTTTCTATGCGGAGTCTTTCATCCGCAAATTATAAAATTTATTAACATGTCTCTCTC